AAAAAAAAAAAAAAAAAATCTTAATTCATATTCACATATTTAGCCGATACTTCTTGAGTGCTTACTACATTCTAGTCTCTCAGGATACATTAACAAATAAGATCTTACCTTCGTGGAGTTTATATCCTAGCAAACTTAAATTTTGGCTATCCCTTAAGAAAATACAAAAAGGCTGTGCTCTAATTCCAAACTCAACAAGTAGTCTTTCTGCAACTCAAGGGGTCTCAAACTTACCCAATAATAAGCAGTTGTCCAAGGCACACAACTGGGATTAGTCCATACAGTCTTTGTCAATTAAAAATTTCAAATCATGGTTTATGAATCAACTTCTGTTTGTTGGGTTGAATTATGAAATTGTTTTATCTGAATTAATTTCCCAGAGCCTGATTAAACTTGAGTGAAAAATAAGTTTCCAAATCTGCCAAACTGAGGACCAGAAAGAGTCTGGTTTCATAGCAGCCCAATTAAGATGCAGCCTGTACATTGAGCCTTGCATTTCCCTTTAAACATATTAAATGGAAGCTTTACCTGTGGTTCCATGCTTGGAGAACAGAGGCAATATGGTTGCTTCCAAAGCTTAATCATAAGTGAGTAAAAATATAAGAGTAAATCCTAAGAGAGTAAAAAACCCTCCTGAACTTGCCCCACCTATGCAACACAGGCTCTTGTTGACATAACTGACTGTTACAGAAACTTGGTCCAAGTATGAAACCCAAGACGTAAGCTCCCAAAGGGCAGGGACTCCCTTGCATTTTTGTGCCCTATTCCCAAAGTATGGGCTCTCAAAAAACAAATGAGTTGACTTAGTGACCATTTTCCCCCAGAAAAACTCAAGACCATGTCCTTAAAAGATATATTTTCTAGATCTTACTTGATAATATGAAACTAGTATGTTCAACAGGGAAGGCACATGGGGGTATAATTTTAAAAAGAAAAACTTTATTTTTATCTTTCTCTATCCTTTCAACCTGTGCAGTGGGAACAGATCTGTCATGTACCCAGTCAAAAACTAAGGCAGTTTCCTTGAGGTTCAGGGGGTTCTGTGGCCCCTTAGAAATAGAGTCCTATAATTACTGAGTCACAAAGAGTGAAACTTTTCCTTCTTTCAAGCTGGGAATACGTGTCTCACTGCTTGCTTGAAAGAGGAGGAATAGTCTTTCTCCTCCCCCACCTTATTAACCAGAGTCATGGAGGGGGGTGGGGGTGGGAGGGGAGCACAAAGATTCTTTCATGTGATGGTTTATGACTCCCTGGGTTTGGTAAATGTTTAAAACTGACTTTTTTGTTCTCATAGTTAACTTTTGTGGTTACCTCAGAGCCCACCCATAATTTCCTGGGTCTAAGCAAAAGCACTCTATCCTGGCAGTTCTTGACTTGCTATTTCAACCGCTAGGAATCTTGTGGTCCACCTACACCTACTTGTATACTGAAGCCTGTTCGTCTCTGCAGAGGCCCTGTAAGAGGGAATCTAAGCTTTGGTGCTGGTCGTTTTGCAATCTGTTACTGTATTACAGGTGGTGCGCTCCATGCCCCAGAGGGTGCTGTTCACATCATCCTCTCTGTAGATTTGTGGATTCATTTTGATAGTTTTCCAGCAGGTGGCAGTAAAGTGTTTTTTCCAAACTAAATGTGACTATTTTCCAGTAGGTGGAAGGGAAGTATCTGGATTGAAGCAGGACTTTTTTCTGATGGTGCTGCTGTGTTAGACTAGTGGCGCTCTGAATGGCTCACACCTGGTCCACAGGACGCTGTCATGCACTCCTTGTCCAAACAAACTTGGAAGTATGGGCCAATCCTAGTGCAGATTCAACATTCCTCTGCTCTGTTGCCAAACAGCCACCAGCCCATAGGAGTCTAACCCAGGTCTGTGTTCCTCTAACTGCAAGAGACACATCTCAAGCACTCTGAGTAGTTCCACTGAAGGCCCTTTTCACGTGGCTCACGATAAAAGGCAAGCAGGCACCTGTAGTAAGAATTATAGCACCCCACCAGCAATCTCCAGGGAAATCCTCCTCAAAATTTTTACTTGACCTTTTGTAACTAAATAACTATAAGTGTTTAGAGTTATATATCTGCTTTTGTCTAAATCATCACTCCTAGAATGAGTATCTCTCAGAACTCAGGTTAGTGAGTTTTTTGAGGGGAATGGGGCCATTCAGTTTTGTTATACCATCTTGGTGCTTCAACAATAGTTCTCAACTGGATGATTTAGGGGGGCAATGTGTGGAGAATTTTTTTGGTTGTCAAAACTGGAAAGATGCTACTGGCTAGTGGATAGAGGTCAAGGATGCTGGTAAACATCCTACACTGCTCAGGACAGTCCCCCACAACAAAGAACATCTTATAACAAATAGAATTCATTGTTACTTGTTACTCTGTTACTCACATTCCTCTGGAGGTGAGTCAATGCCAGGAAAACTATTATGTGAGGTAAGTTTTTAAGTCATTTCTTTGCCAAATGACTTTTTTTTTTTCTTTTTGAGACAGAGTCTCTAACTATCGCCCTGGGTAGAGTGCCATGGCATCACAGCTCCTAGCAACCTCAAACTCTCAGGCTCAAGTGATTCTCTTGCCTCAGTCTCCCAAGTAGCTGGGACTATAGGCACCGCCATAACACTCAGCTATTTTTTGTTGTTGCAGTTGTCACTATTGTTTTAGCTGGCCCAGGCCAGGTTCAAACCCACCAGTCTTGGTGTATGTGGCTGGTGCCCCACCACTGAGCTACGGGTGCTGCCCTGCAAAATGACTTTTAAGACAGGAAATATCTAACTTATCTGAACAAAGTCTTCATGCCCTCAAAAGAAAGGTCATGAGTCATATTACTTTAGAAAAAATATATATTTGTTGCAACCTAGACCCATGTTCTAGATGGCCAGGGAGGACATCAGCATATCTGCCTCCTCAAGGTTACCCGTGTCACTGAGATGAAATTTGAAGTCAGGAAGTAGTTCTGTCTCCTTACAGATGACTAATAAGGTCCTCATTATTCACAGAGAATGCCATGGCTGTTTTTCCTTTATATTCATTTGATTGAATTTAGCAGAATGTTGAGCCCATCTCTTGTGCCATCTGCAAGGAAATTTTCATTAACCAAGTGTCCTCTTTACCCTAAGTGATCTTCTCCCTGACCAAGGCTATTTGAGTACTAGGATGTGGATTAACATTTGTTAAGGCTGCCATGATCTCTTTAAATACAATGTTAAGAAGAAACTGGAGCCATAGTAGCCAGTAAGAGCCAAAAAGATATATTCTATCCTCATCAATTCCAACACTTAAAAGGTAAAATAGATACAACAAACATTTAATATTTACTGATATTGAGCTTGGAATAACTCAAACCTGCATTTGCATTTGAATAACCTATTACTTACTAGCCTTGACTCTGGTCAAGTTACTTAACCTAATTGTACCTTAGACTCCCTATTAATAAAATTGGAAAACCAATATTTAACTGAATTTTATCCACAAAAGTGCTTTGTAAGCTAAATACTATAATTTTTTTCATTCCCCTTTTCTATG